CGCCGTGGCACCTGGAGTGAGAGGGCCCGAGTTCTGAAACCTGCGGCATTCCCCGGGTGTAGCCATTTAACCTCAGTTTCGTTAACCTAGTTGAGCTGGTTTCATTACGTGAAAAAATGCGAGGAACAGTGGAATCGACCGCTGAGTCATCTTTGGGAGACGAGGTGAGGTAGTGCAGGTGAAGTTCCCAGCGCCTGGCGCATGGCAGGCTCCTAATCGGTGGTGGTGTCATTGCTGGAGTTTTGAGTTCGCTGTCTACTTGCAGGCACCCTGCTCTTCAGGGAGTCAGGTTTTTTGTAAGTCATTTTCAAGCGCTGTAGTTACAGCACCTCATCAATAGTGTTTGGAACCAGGGTGATGCTAGTTTGTTAATTGGATTGTGAAAGGAGGAACCAAACCTAGAGAAAGCAGTGAGAAGCCCGCTGGATTACTCAACCTTGTGACGGTTGCAGCTTGGATCTTGGGTTTGCCGAGTAGTTTTCTGAGCCCCACTGATAACTGGCCTTAAAATCATAACAGCCTGTACCTTGGGTTGGGATAGGAAAATAAATTTATTTTAAACAGGTAAAAAAAAAATCTTTGCCTGCCCTCACGCAAATTTGCAAATTGTGTTATTTACAAAAGACAATCAGTTACTTCTCTGTTTAATGTCATGCCTCTTATTAGTGTTTTCCTTTGTTCTGTCTGTTTAAATCTGTTGTTTCTCTTTTGCATTCCACTCAGTTACCTGCCTGGAGTGACCAGCTGATAATGGCAAAATCTTGGCCTTCCAGCCCTCTAAGAATTCTAGGCTAAGAGCGTAAGAAAATTAGTGAACATTACCTCTCACAAAAGCTTGAGTTTTAGTGTGCTGTCGTATGTAATTCTACTTACATATCTTTTTGACAACTTTGCTTGAAAGCCCTGAACTTTCACAGGTGATGTTACTGAGTGGAGTGTGTGCCTCAGATAGGCAGCAGCATTTTTGTGTGGGAAACACACAGTTTTGTGTGAGAGACCCCTGGGGGTTTCAGGATAGAACAGGCTCCGTGGATATGTATGTAGTCTGTCTAACACAGGTTTTTAGTCATGTTCACCAAAATTGGGAATATTAATAATAACAGTAGCTCTTAACTATTTCTGTTCTGGTGCTGTTTGTGAATTAGCTGACACCGCCTTGAGATGTTGGTGCTGTTATTAGCGCCAGCATTTGACAATGAGGAATCTAATGCAGAGAGATTAAGTCATCTGCCGGTGGTTTCTTACTTAGGAAACGGTGGAGCCAGGATTGGAAGCATTCAGCAGCTGTGTTGTCTCAGAAATTAAATGTCTTCTGTGGGAAGTGGGCTTACAGAGGATGACTGTCACATTCTCTGTCCTTACAAAGCAACTAATCATTTATACACTATATTTGTTCCTTATTTCATGTATCTCCTGCTACACTGTAAGCTCCCTGGTAACGGGCTGTCTCTGGCTCAACTCTGTATTCTCTGCAGGTAAAGCACCATGACAAGCTTAGTTATAGTTGGTGGAATGAATGAAACACGCTGTGTCATAATCCTGAGCTTAAGATAAAAGTATTTGTTTTTTATTTACTCTTCTCCCCCTCTGCCAAGAAACATCTTGGTTTAAAGAAACTAAATTCTGCAATATACCATTTAAAAATCCTTTCCCTTTTAAGCTTCACAGCTTTTTGAGCTATTGTATTTCTCCTATGGAGCTATTCCTTTTCTCTTGTTGTAAGGGAGGAAACCAGTTTAAGGAGGTTCAGCCCCTTCTGATTGTCCCATGAGAAGAGGCAAAGCCAGGGTGAGCTGCAATGTCTCCTAGGCCAGGGGTATGGAAGCAGGGGTGTGGACTCCCTTTCCCAAGGTGGCCAGCCACAGTTTACCTCCCCTGCAGGTACTGCTTCCATGCTTGTCTCTTTCCTTGCTCTCTTTAAAAATCTCCAACATTACACTGAGTTTGCATGGGTTTCTTGGCTTAGCTATAAGCCTTTGGTTTCTTTGGGTATCTGTGCGTTTTTGAACTCCCAGTGTACTTGTGCATTTAATTGATCTGCAGTAGCGCAGTTTGTAATATAATTTGGGGGTCAGTAGTTTTATACTATCTGCTTCTGTTTCCCAATGAAGTAAAAGTATATTTGTTTTTCATTCTCATATTTTCTCAAGATGTGGTTATGTTTATTTTCATGATAAATGAAGCCTAAGTTTGAGACAACAAAAGTACAGGCATCCCTCGGAGATACTGTGGGGTCCATTCCAGACCACTGTAGTAAAGTGAGGATCGCAATAAAGCGAGTCTTCGTTTTCTTTTTAGTGGTGGAGGATCTTGCCTTCAGTTTGTGTAAAAAACAATAACAGAAAACAAGCAAACAAAAAAACTCTGTGAAGCACAAACAAGGTATGTAATTCCAAGGCCACACAGCAAATTAAAAGAACAGTGAGCCCAGCCCGGCGTGGCTCAGCGGTTGAGCGTCTACCTAGGATCCAGGCGATCGGGGTTCGACTCCCGGTCAGGGCACATGCCCGGGTTGCAGGCTCGATCCCCAGTCGGGGGCGTGCAGGAGGCAGCCGATCAATGACTCTCATCATTGATATTTCCCTCTCCTTTCCTCTCTCTGAAATCAATAAAGATATATTAAAAAAAAAAAGAACAGTGAGCAAAATACAAATCTTTCAATTCCAGAGTTGTATAGTATTCATTGGGCCTCACTGCCTGCTTTTCTGACCCTTACTTCTAAGTTGTAAGTAAACTTAGAAGCCTGTTTTGTATAGCCCGAGCCGTCATTGCTCTCAGGCGAATGATAGAATGATTTCCTAAACACTAAAACCCCAACCTCCAAGGACCACCAAGCTGTGAGTGAAAGTGTCTGTACCATCCATCTTACCAGTCCCTCTCAGGTGTGTCCTGAATCCTGACCTCTTCCTCTTAAGTCTCTCCTCACCAGGACTTTCTGTTAGGTATTAGTTTGTTGGTGGAGGGGCAGGTGAACACGTAAAAAACTTGGACTTTGGAGCCAGGCTGCCTGTATTTAATGCCTGCCTCCAGCACTGCCTGGTTGTGTGACCTTGGGCCTCTTTTCCTCACCTATAGATTAGAGATAATGTGGTATCTACCTCATAGAATTGTTGTGAGGTTTTAACGAGTTAACTTGTGGGAAGTCTTTAGAATGGTGCCTGGCCCGTAGAAGTTTTAATATTTTATTAACACTCATTCTGCCTATCATCTAAGCTTAAAATCCTAACCATGGTGTATTCTCCCTCCCACCCCCCCAGTCTTCTCAGTGAACAAATCCTATCACATGTACCTGTCTTCCTTTCCATCGTTGCTGTTCCTTGCCGTTTGCCAACACCTCTTACCTCCCTTCTTCCAACTTACTGCCCAGTGCACCTCCCTACTTTATTATTTGCACCTTATTTTTCGTTTGCTTCTTACTTTAAAGCCTCACTTCATACTTACAGCTGGATGAAGCCGGAACACTGAGCCTAGCATTTGATACCCTTACTGTGACACAGTCTGTTTCCCGCTATTTTCACACTAGCCAAGCTGGTGAACACCACCTTCCTCCTCCTGTGCACATCACTTTTTTATTTCTGCCTTTGCTTCGTTTCTTTTCCCACCTTAAAATTCTGTTTGTTCTGTAAATCTCATGATCTTGCCCCTCTTGTAAAGTGCTATACTACTTGCCTCTGGAACCGTTTTACCTCATATTTGTCTACTTGTTATTGTTTAGCTTTTCTTGCAATCCTCATATAGGGTAATAACCTATTAGTTTTAACAATAAAGGCCATATGTCAGTGACTTAACATTATAAAGTTTCTTTCTCATTCATGTAACAGTTTAGTGTGAATGTCCTTCCATGTTGAAATTCAGGGGCATAGACTTTTTATCCTTTGGCTCTGCTGTTCCATAAAGGCTTCTTTATTGGCAGAAGGGTAAAGTGAGGACAGAAAAGGAATACTACTTAACCTACTGGGCTCTGCGGTGACACACACGACTTAAATTCACAGTCCACTGTGAAAACTAGTCACCTAGGCCAACTGGATGTAAAGAGAGTTGGGGAATGTGGTCCGTGGTTGGCCGCTTTAGCTTCCTCTGAACAGTACTCTAACAGCAGGTCATGAATTCTGTAAGTTATTAGGCATCTCTTGGCAATGAGACTGTAGCATTTTCTGGGCCAGGCAGGAACTCTCACATATGTTTTATAAAATACAGTAACCAGCATGGTACTTGCTAGAACACAACACCTAACAGGAGCAGGATGATGGTTAAGTACTTTGGGCCTGATACTTGGAAGACTTCATTTGAATCCTTCCCCCACAGATGAGGAACTGGTTGACTTAAGGAAGTTATTTATCCTATGTTCTTCATACAATAACACATCTACTTCGTAAGGCTGTTGTGCAGGTGAAATGAAGTGTAAGGTACAATACCTGGCATGTTGTAAACCCTGAGTAAATGGTGGTTTTTAGTACATACATTAAGTTTCTTTATTGATGATCTTTAAGAAAGTTTATAAACTGTCATTTAATGCCCTGTGGTACAGGTGGATTGGAAGTAGCCTCAGGCAGCCTGTGACAGATTAGGATATGGAAGACCCATTTTACAGTCCAGAACTTTCTAACTAGTATATGACTTGGGCAAGTCATATAACTTCTGGGGTTTTGATTTGTCATCTTTCTAGTTCTAGTCATCAGGGATTATGAATTACGGAGTTAAATCATGTGGCGTTATTATGACTTGTTCAAATATCACTGAGATACTGCTTTGTAAAGTCAAAATTATCCAGATATTTTTAGTATTGTTTAATACCGTGATGCTAAATATTAAATTGAAAAATAGTGCAATCACAGACATTCCCCTCTACCCCTATCAGAATACATATTGAGAAAAAAATACAGAAACTGAATTGAAAATATTTTCAGAGTAAGATTTTGTTTGTCTTGTAGGCATTTTGTTCCCAACATCACCTTTGGTCACCCTGTGGTAGAAAGCCTCCGAAAGCAGCTAGGCCAGGACCCTTTCTTTGGTAAGTGGGTGTTACGCCATCTGAAGCTGGATGTGTTGCTCAAGTAAAAGAAAAGGTAGTTGATTTCTCAACTTTCAGTTTCATCTCGAACCCCCTTTCCCCCTTTGTCTGTGCCGGGGCTTCATTGGCTGCCTATAATAAGCCAAACTCTTTCCTGCTTCAGGGCCTGGCACTTTTGCTAATTTCTTGCTGGGGAAGCTAATCACTTGGCTAGCTCTACCTCATCTTTTGGCCTCAGATCATTTCTCATTTCCTCAGAGACCTTTCTAAGCACCCTATCTTAAGTTAACCCTTATCCAGTTACCATGTCACCTCTGGATATTCTTAGAACTTCCTTTAATCTGAGGTTATTTTTATCAGATTATAAACTCCTTGATTGCAGGGATTTCATCCACTTTGTTTATTGTGGTTTTCCTAGAGCTAAGCATAGACACAAGATTGGGGCTCAGTGTAATGTTAAATGAATTTATGAATTGATTGACTTATGGTCTAGAAATGAAGCCATTTTCATGCAATTGGAGCCTTCTGCAAACGGGGCCTGTATATGTTCCCGCTTAAGTACTGTAGGATAATGTGAGTTAAGGTTTTTAAGATCACACAGTAACCTAGAAGTTACTTCTAATGGGACATTAATTCAACCCACATGTTCTTGCTGTTCTTTTAAACTAGCTTAGCAGTGCCTCATTTGCCAGATCTCTTATACATAAGTTTCTCAGTGGCATTAACCGTATAGCAAGCTCTCGGCCACGCTTGGCTAGTGACTACTGTATTGTACGGTTCTGCCACGGAACATTGTGGTCATCGTAGAAGGTGCTGTTCGACAGAGCCTCTCTCCAGCGTCCATCCACTTTGAGTGTCCCAAAGAGAATGTACATTATGCCTAATTTACGTGACAAGAGGAAAACAATGTTCTACCAACATGTTCGCCATTTTGAAATTTCCAAATAATGGAATAATCCTCTGATAATCTAAACTTATTTCTTACTACATTTTGAAAAATGAATTTTCTGATATAAATTTGCTTTTATGACTATCAGAGGTGGATGAAATAAGTAGCATTGTTTGCCCCCACTGTACAAAAGCCACAGATTCCTCTGCTTTTGGCTTTGTGTGGATATAAAAAATTTTTTTTCCTTCTCTCCCTTTTATTTGGACTCTTGGTGTCACTTCTCACAGCTGTTTGTATCTCCCACTGTCAGTGCCTTTCCTCTTACCAACCTTGCTGCCACCACCACACACAATCTGCTTTTTCTTCTTGTTTTAGTTTGTTACTTGCTGATAAGCTTACTAGAATTAATCTTTCTAGAATTGGGTCTAAAATAAAGATGAATGGACTCTATGCTTTAATGTTTGGGTTTTATGATCTTTGCTTTTTTTTTAAATTAAGATTTGTGTGGTTTTTTTGTTTAATTCCTGGATCTTGGCTGTTGGATACTTAACACATGAATATATTCTGGAAACTAAATCACAAGATGTTATGTATGACTGCTAGATTTCTTAACAGTTTAATCTCAGTACTGAATACAAATAACCTGACAAGTAAAGTGGTAGGGAAAAGTCTGTTTTTGCTATTATCCAAATCAATGGTCTTCAAGTTTGGTCTGAGGACCCATGAGAATCCCTTTCAGATGGTCCATGGGGTCAAAACTATTTTTATATTACAGTATTATTTCCCATATTTGTACTGAGGGTGCAGATGCAGAAGCAATGGTGAGTTAGTCTGCTGGTGCCTTAGCCTGAACCAAGGCAGTGGTTTTGAACTATACAAGTAGTCATTAACATTCTTCATCATGGTGTGTACATAGTAAGTATCCTGATGAGGCAATGCAAGTTATGAATTTTAGTAAATCTTGACCCTTGAGTGCATGTCTTTTTAACATTTTGTGTGACAAAGTAGGAAGCACATAGAAGGCACCTCTGCTGCATGCTGGACTGTGGTGGTTTTCTCAAGGAAACTTCTTGCGCCGTTGTTTGAGTTATGAACTGAACTACCTGCTTTTCTTATGAACACTATTTTCACTTGAACAACTGACAGATGAACTATGATTATCAGACTTGTGCATTTTACTGATATATTTTTTTAATTAACTAAATTAGCCTGTCACTTCATGGAAAACACCCCATTAGCTTTTGTTGCTCCCTGATAAACTTAGAGCTTACAAGTGAAAATTAGAATTTTGATAAATGTGTATCCGCTTTTGTGAACTTGATTAATTCTTAGTACTTAGAGCTTTTCTGATAAGATATGTAGTGATATAATAAATGTGATTTTTTGATAGCATAAAAGATCCAAAGTGTGAAATAGACCAACAGGTTTTAGTGGAACAAAGTAGGAAAAGTTCACTGGTAGGATTTACAAATTCCACATTGCAGCCAACCTTTATAAAAGTATCACTTGCCGATTTTTGGTGTAGAAATAGAATATCCACACTTGTCTGAAAAGGCTGTTAATGTACTCCTCCCTTTTTTATGTACTTTTCTTTCTTTTCTTCCCGTGAAACAACACATTGTAACAGATTGAATGCAGAGCAGATGTGAGAATACAGATGTCTTCTGTTAAGCCATACATTAGAAACTTACAAAAATGTAAAATAATACCACTCTTACATTAACATCATAGATTTATTATTGCTTTTGTTTTTAAAAAAATATATCTTTATTGATTTCAGACAGAGGAAGAGAGAGGGAGAGAGAGAGACAGAAACATCAATGATGAGTCATCGATCAGCTGCAGCCCGCAATCTGGGCATGTGCCCTGACCGGGAATCGAACCCGGATCTCCTGGATCCGAGGTTGATGTTCAAACCGCTGAGCCATGCCCGGCCGGGCCTTGCTTTTTTTTAAAAAAATTTTTTTTTTTTTTTTAATATCTTTATTGATTTCAGAGAGAGGAAGGGAGAGAGAGAGACAGAAACGTCAATGATGAGAGAGTCATTGATCGAGCCCACAACCCAGGCATGTGCCCTGACCGGGAATCGAACCCTGATCGCCTGAATCCTAGGTCGACGCTCAACCTCTGAGCCACACCCGGCCGGGCACTTTTTTTTTTTTTTAATGAGTTGATAAGGAGACTTAAACATTTTCTTAACTTGAATTTCTAATATATTAAATATAGATAAATATAACCCACATCAAAAGTGCTTTTTGTGGTCTTCAGTCATTTTGAGAGTGTAAAGGTAGCCTGATAATAGAACATTTGGGAACTGCTCATCTCGGTGTGTTAACTACAGGCAAGTTCACTGAACCACTGACTCCCTGGACACTGGAGCGTCTCCAGCGATGTTGCTAGTGGTTACTGCATTCGAGAAATGGAATGACATAGCAGTCTGGTAACTTAAGGAATGGGTAAACTAGATATTCTAAACCAGATTGAATTTTCCTTATTTATAATACAGAGAAATAAATGCTATATGGAGAGTCTATCTTTTAAAAACAATGTTTTATCTATTACAATGTGTTCTATTTTTGTTACTTTTGTTTAGAAATAGAGACTTGAACCTTGGCGTCATTAGTCAAGTGGTATACGCTTTTCCTAACATTTTTCAAAGCCTTAGTGCATTTCATAATCTTATTTGCGTTCTGAAATACTAGAATTTTTTTCTTTAATAAGTTGACCTCTGTCAGAAATGTGCTTCCTCTAGCAAAACAAAAAGCTCAAAAGCCTTCTCACTACCATCTATCCTGGACAGGATATTTACTGTGTCCTTCACAAGGCTTAGTTCTTGATTTAGCCTCTTTTCATCTTCCCTCTCCTCATTAAATGCCATTATGTTTCAAGTCAAGATCCTTAAGAAGGCCAGGCCCATTTTGCCTAAAATAATATTTATATGATTCAAGCTTTAGAATTAGGGTGCATGTCAGGCTTCTTTTAGTAACATGTTCTCCCCCACAAATTCGTGCTTCCTCCTGCAGTTTTCTACCTCTCAGTTAATGGCACTTCTGTTCTGTTCTAGTTACTCTGGCCCCAGTCCTTGCACCATTCTGCCTCTCCACTCACTGTCCACATCTAATCCACAGCTACTCCTGTTGGCTCTACTTTCCGAACATACCCAGAATCGCACCAGTTCCCACCATCCTCAATTGCTGCCATCATCCTTTCTCACCTGGGTTATTGCGATGGCCTTCTAGGTCAGATCTTGTCTCTACCTCACTCAAAATCCTGCAGTGGTTTTCCTGTCTCATTAGGAGTAAAACCCAATGGCCTGCAGAGCCCGGTACTCTCCTCACCCCGTGCCTCTCTGACCTCATCCACTCTCCCCATTGCTCCATGCCCCAACCAGTCTGGCTTTGTTAACTACCACCCTAGTGTGTATTGTATTTACTTATTTTTTTATGGTTTTTCTCCCCCACTAAGAATGTAATCCTCATAACAGCAGATGTTTTTGTCTGTCTGTCTTTCTGCTCTATTCCTAAGGCCTTAGAATAGCTAACGGTGCAGTAAGTGTTCAATAAAATATTGGTGAAGAGAATCATTTAATTTAGCTTTCTTATTTTATAAATGAGGAAGTAAGCGTTTATAGGTAATATGACTTTAAAAAGTTTTTTAGAGTGATATTTACTGGACGTAGACCAGGTCTCCTGATTTCTAATCATTACTTTCCATATACAGCAACGTATGCTTATTGTAGAAAAATGTATGTGTGTTAATGAGTTTAACCAGAACCTAACCTTCAAGATAAAAGGAGGCTAGTTATACAGAAGTGTAACTATTTAACAATTACTGTGATGTCAGAGAGTTTACATACGAAATGGGAAAAACTGTAGGTTGGCCTCAATAACATGAGCCAGGCAGTTTCCTTTCCGTAATATTTAGGCGATGTGTCTTTTCTTTCTAGACATGCACATGATGGTGTCGAGGCCGGAACAGTGGGTAAAGCCAATGGCTGTAGCAGGAGCTAATCAGTATACCTTTCATCTTGAGGCTACTGAGAACCCAGGGGCTTTGATTAAAGACATTCGGGAGAATGGGATGAAGGTGAGAGGTCAGCTGTGACAGTAATGTTTTATACTACTCACACTCAGAGTTGGGAAGATTTTGCGGAAGACATTTCCTAATAGGTAGATAAGACCAGACTTAGGCAGCTGTTCTTCGCTGGGAAGCCACAGTTTTAAACTTGTTTTTTGTATAAGTATAATAATGTATAATAATTCTTTCGAACGTTATTGCTTTTTTAGAAACATTTACATTAAATAGCCTTGTTTACTTTTTAAATAAATAATTACATAGTCTGAACATTTTATGTATTCCATTTATGTATGTATTCTGTTTTTTAAGAATAGATATTTCTACTGGGCCTGGTATGCCACAATAATAGAATGTGGAAGTAATTATTAATGTGATGTAGCAAATTTGTCTCTGTCACAGGTTGGCCTTGCCATCAAGCCAGGAACTACAGTTGAGTATTTGGCACCGTGGGCTAATCAGATAGATATGGCCTTGGTTATGACAGTGGAACCTGGGTTTGGAGGGCAGAAATTCATGGAAGATATGATGCCAAAGGTAAAAGAAGTATTTGATTCTGGGTTGAGGCTTTTATTATGTGTGCTCATTCAATAAAAATATATCGAACCACTTGTATCTGCCCTGTTCGGAAGGTGGGGGAGATGGAAATGCCTACTGATCATTTAATACAGTATGATAAGTGCTGTAAGAGATTTAGGTTTGGAAATCAGAAAAGATACATTTTAATCTTGAAATTTTCTTTCAAAGCCATTATTTCTCTAGCCTTTAGAGCTTTTTTGAGTTTTCAGTGAATATCGAGGGTTTTGTCTTTGTCTTTTTTCCATGAAGTATATTCTCTGAAATGCCATGACAGATTTAATGCCACTTGCCAAGCAGAACAAAGCTTGCTTTTGGGATGCTTAGTTTGTTTCAGTGTATTAAAAGGGAAGTTTTCCCCAATCATAATTTGTATTGATATAAAGGTATTATGTGAGATATTTGGAGTCCTGTTTTAATGGCAATACTGGCTGCTTGATGTTTTGTTATTTGGTTGTGCCCCCATCCCCGTCATATCCACTTTAGGAGTCACTTATTTCCTCATGTATATCTAGGTTCACTGGTTGAGGACCCAGTTCCCGTCTTTGGACATAGAGGTCGATGGTGGAGTAGGTCCTGACACTATCCATAAATGTGCAGAGGTGAGACTGCTCCTCAGCTGTGACCTAGACCACCTTCCTGTCAGATGTAATGTCCAGGACATTGTCTTGTGGGCTAAAGAGAGTTCCTCTACATTTCCTACACTGCCTTTCTTTCTTGGAAAAGTATTTTTTGTTCAAATGTAGAACTAGGAAAATAAAGAGCAATAAACGAATATTCTAAAATCAGACAATGGTTAAATAGTAAGTTTGGTTATCTCAGTGATGCTGAAGAAAGGTCTTTTTTGAAAAGGAATATACTAAATGCCAGCCTTTAGAGGATCATTAAGTTCCAGGGCCTTGGAATGAGTCATTTGTCCATATAGGGAAAGAAAACACCTTATAAAAGGAAAAACTTGTTACGCTATAGAACTTAGATGTATTAGTTGCCAATTTAGTTTCCTTGTATTAATTACCTCGTAAGAACTGACTAGAGGCATTTTTGGTGACATTCTAGATCTGATCTCTGGATACCTCTGACCCTCTATGTAGAGCTGGGATGAGTTTTTCCCAAGTAGTTAGCTGAGTTAGGACCCTGAGCTTCATCAGGAGAGGGTGCCAGCCCTTCCTGTAGCACTGCAGGTGATTCAGGTGGCCTGCTCTTACTAAGCAGCATTGTCTAATCTGCACTTCGAGTTTTTTGTATAAATGTCACACTTTTCTGCTTGCTACTGGTCAAAAGCCGGGCTGTGATAAGTGCTTCTGAGAGAGGAGCTGGCCCAGTAGTTCGTAGCGGATACCCTTTGACCCCGGGTGGAGTTCTTTGACCTAAGCTGTTCTTTGCCGTTATGCTGTCCCTGTTCACTTGAAGAGGTGTGGTTCAATTACAATCCTGTAGAACTGCTTTTTTCCCTTTTCATTTTTATGAAGAATGTTGTTTGAGGTGTGGCACACTGTATCACAGATAGCGTCTCATTGGGAAACTTTCCTCCGCTTTAGCAGTTCTCCTAATAGCCTCCCTTTCTTCTGGCAGTGACTCGCTAGTGGATTGGGTTTCCCTCCGCAAGTCAGATCCTAGGAAGCAGAGCTAAATTTGGAATCACACTATTTGCTTTCCTCTGTTTTTGTTTTTACACTTAAGAACATCTTGAAATTCTTTAAGCCACCTCAAAACCATTCTGAAATGCAGTGAAGCTTAAGTTAAAAGATGTTCCGTTCCTCCTGGCCTCAAAATGAGAAATTATTTAATGTTGCCATATTTTATGAATAGTTTCACATTTTAGCAACATTGTCCTTTCAGACTGTCTACCAATTCATATGCATAATTCAAAATTAAAAGGATTTTTAGTAGCTATGGAGATATTGGTATATATTGGAAATACTTTAATAGAGTTGAGGATTATCCAAATATTAACAAAGATGAAGTATTTAGAGGTCATTACAAAAAAGTCAGTGATTTCTTAGACACGCTTAAAAGTAATTTCACATCCTCATTTGTTAAGCATTTTAACTTCTTTATTGAACCAGACTGCTTAAATCTGTTCATCTCAAAGTGGCTTTTGTACAATTTAATTGCTGACAGATGCAGGAGTAGAAACTCTAGTCTAGGAATTCTGTTTTAGGCTTTTCTGCGTCTTTCTTGGAGGCATAACTGAGTGTTTACTTCTTCCAGGCAGGAGCTAACATGATTGTGTCTGGCAGTGCCATTATGAGGAGTGAAGACCCCAGATCTGTGATCAACCTGTTAAGAAATGTTTGCTCAGAAGCTGCTCAGAAACGTTCTCTTGATCGATGAAAGCACAAGGAGTCCAGAGTTTCTGCTCATGAAATCCTTTTGCTGGAAAACAAGAATATTGACTACCAAATCATACCACAATTGAGGCAGTGCTGATTTTCTGAGCAATTACTCATTCTGGTGACTGACATCTATTGTGCAGAATGTTCCAGGAGGTTAGAAATTTAGTGATGGGATTTAAAGATTAGTGTGGTGAAATACCATTTTTACTGGGAGACTTGATTTTTATAGAGAGTAAAAATATGGCTGTATTAAAGTTATAAACAGAAATGTGTCTTAATGCCTCACAAAGGCATATTAGCTACTATGAAAAAGTGGTTTTTTTCCTCCATTTCTAAAAAGAATTTTCTGTTGTTTCTTGGCTGTTTTCCAAAAGCAAAAGAAGTCCTTACGTTTTTCCTGTTCCATGTCATTTTTTATTTTTCTGTATGGGTGATAATATGAGAATAGAATTTAGGGAAAATCTAAGTTTGAATCTGCCTGGGATGGCATACCATGCTCTCCTAAAGCATCTCCTTTTTACTTTGCACCTTATATTTGATATATAAAAACAATGTATGAAGGCCAGGGATTTTTAAGGTGGTCTCTTCTGAAATACAAGCGTAGATTTTAGCAGGGTGTTTTGTTCGCTTTGCTGCAGGGACAGGGTATTCAGCGATCCGCCCCATCTTTAACCATGCGGACCCACCGTTTTTAAGGACATTGGATAATGTGCTAGCTCTGAACAGAAAAGCCTCTATTTGGATGTGAAATTGAATTGACTCTTCCCCTTTCCAGCTATTTGACCTTAGCAGATCAAATCAACCAAGCTCTTTGAGCTACTATTAACTGATTTATACAGTGAATGTAATTATAACTGTGCAGGGTTGTGTTGATGATTAAAAGAAATACTATATTTGTAAAGTTTCTGCTACTGTTCTTAGAATTGTAGCATAGAATTGTAGCATAGAATTGAGGATGCTCAGTACTAAGTAGCTATCATTATAAAGCTTATGTTTTATAGGTTATAAAGTACTTTGATGTAATTTCATTGAGTCTACAAATCATTCCTGTGAGTGGCAGGCAGATATTTTTGTCCTTGTTTTAAAAAATGAAGATACTAAAGCCCAGCAGTAGGCTGCTAGCAGGGAAAGCATCCACCCAGTAGGGCACAGGCTTTCTGGTTTGTACTCTTTTTACAAGTGAAGGCCTTGGGAGGGGTATTAGGCAAAGGAAGCTCCTTCTACTTAACATTGTCTTACTTCCAGTCCAACTTGACCCTGTAGCAGAACCAGATGGCTGAGAATATCCTGGAACTATGGATTTTGACCCCAAGATATATATTTTATTAATCCAAGAAACACCAGGTAGGCTATGAGCTGGCAAGGTACAACATTGACCCATAAACTAACTATTTATAATTGTGTCCCAAATTATACTTTGACAACAAGTATGTGTCAGCTACTTCATTATTGAGAATACTCTTGCTATGTAATACATAGGGCAAAGAAATAACAGGACCAGTGTCAATAAACTTCTGTAGACTACTGTGAGTTTTAAGAAAAAAGATTTGAAAAGTAAGGACATTAGTACTTAAGTATGGAATACAGTTTGCTTGGTTACAATACAAGGTAAAAATATGTTAACATTTATTTTGGCTTAGGAAAGTTTTGTGCCATGAATAGGTGGCGTTTAATTAAATCAGACAACACAAGGCATATAGAAATAACTTTAATTAAAAAACTTACATAGAAGATTATAATATGAGACATGACAGAAAGATTTGAGTTTATTTGCCTAGACAACTTGGGTTTGTCTGGCTTTTGTTTTCTTTTAAAAAAATAAATGTACAGTAAAACTATAAGCAAAAATTTGTCAGTATTGAATTTGAATTTTTCTTCTTTAAAGGGACTAGCATAATTTCTAGTCCCAACAAAATAGTGTCAAATCCCCCAAGTCTAGGCCAGATGGCCAGGATTGTCAGTTATATGGGTACAACAACTTGAAGAACCATTTTTACATGAGAAAAAACAATTCATATAAATTGTCCTCAACTTTTACATAGAAAAAAAATGATGTAATAACTTCAAAAGGAATTTTCCTTAATGTACACTCCAGTATCCAATATTGATAATACTGAAGCATTATCCTTTGAAAAGTCTTAATTCTCACTGTAGGATACAAGTAAGAGTAGATGCTTATTTGAATAGAATAATAAAGAATGACCAATTAAAACTAGAAATACAATAATATCTTTTATACTGACAGAACTTTCCTGTGTGTGGTTTATTTTAAAGTGGTGTCTTCACGAGATACATAAAATAAGGAAGGTAAAACTTGAGTTTTAAAAGAGGTGATAGTTTTAAAAACACCAATATTTAACTCTGCTTGTCTTATTCTGTTAGGAGTGCATAGAAAATGATGTAGGTATGTTGAACAGATATCAGTGATTTCAAATAAAGAAATATTGTGTTACCTGGTATAGAAATTTCCATAAATAACTATTGCTTAAACAGGTTTTTAAAAATTCCTCTTCATAGTCAAGACTTTTAAGTGTCCATTATGATTGGAAACCTGTGCTGCTTTATTTATAGTGCAGCTTGTAATTCATGGAGTAGTTCATACACGCATTTTTGAGTGGTATCTGCCAGTGCATATGTGTGTGTATATATATACCCTTACACACATTTGTATATTCTGATACCATGTGATAGAAAAAAGAAGAGCTGTCATTTGCTGCACAGGTATGTGTGTGTTTATAGCTATGTATGTTTGTGTGGGTATAAAATCTTTTAAAAATTATTTACCCAGTAATGTGATTTGGCATCAAATTGCAGCAGTTAATTTTTTGGTGCTTATGACACGCATCATAATCACACATGACTAGCACTCGTCTGTATGTGAAAAGCTAGTTAATGACCTCTGTTCAAGGAAAGAGAGACGTACCTTGTCTGTTGCATAAAGAGCATAAAGATTACTACATGCAGTACATGCTCTTACTCTGGACTTGTGACTGGAGGGGATCGGAGATGGAGAACAGGGCTTATTTTTTCTCCTGTTTTCCATTCAGTTCCATCATTTTCTTAACCTGTTCCTTGTCACCTATTTTTTTTAACATGAGTAAGTCCTACAGCAAAGGCTTTGTACTCTTCCATTCCGTCCTCCTGCCTTTTTGGATGCTGGCTGTTCTCTGGTGCGCTGGTACAGAAGACTTCACCGTTGAAAGCTGGGCTTGACCTCTCAATCTGGTCGCTTTTTTTATCTTGGCATAATAAGGCTTCTGTGTCTCCATCCTTCAGTGGAAAAGCCCGTCGTTCCCACCACAAAGACTGAAAGACAAAACATGTTCAGTTAAGTTCCAACTACTTTGTTCTGTTTAAATTGATGTATCAAGTAATCTGTAAATGTCAATTTTGTAATAACTTGTTTTGCTCTTTAGCACACAAATGTACAAATTTTCTTTTGAATTTAAGTATCTAGCAACTCAAAAAGGAACGTATTGAGGACTGTGTAGGGACCTTGGGGAATGCTTTGTTCGCTTTGCCTCTTCCATGGAGAAGAAATGCTGCCATAGGGCACTGTCTTCATTCTCAGCCTGCGGGCGCTTTGGGAGCACCCCTTTGATCTTCACTACCTCCACTTGCATCCCATAATTACAGACACCTATTGACTTTCCTTCTCTGAGCTTTCTACAACTGGCTTGTTAATTTTTATAGTCTCCACTCTCTCCATTCTAGACATGGTCCTTTTCCAACATACTTTTGAATAAAAGCAAGAACTTTATAGATGCAGTGTTAGAAAACAGTCCCCTTCCGTGGGATGGGAGACAAGTAGAGAGAAGTAGCAGCTGACGTTTACTCTGCCAGGTGCCATCCTCTTTCCTCAGGTTTGTTTTGGAATGAAAATTTGATAGACTCATTTCCTTTAGGTATTGACATGTTCCATGAAAAGAAAAGTGTTTCTAGGGATGGAACTAGAGTTTTGGAATGCAGCTCCTCTGGGGGGTACCCAGCACCCTGTCCTGGATTGTCATACTGAGTTTGTTATGTAATGATGAATCCATAATTTGCAACAAGCAATTTTTACGAACAAGTTTTAAAAAGGATAGAAGGCAGCTGAAAGGTGTGCCTAGTTGTCTAGGCACGACTGCACTTACCTTGATTTCTTGGCTTTCGTTTACTGAAGGTGAGCCATGTGCACTCAGATCCTGACTCTGCGGACTTTCGGCAGCACCATGCTGACCAGCAGTAAAGTCATTAGGGTATTCTTTCAGAAGTAAGTCTTGTCCTTCAACATTTTTACTGTAAGCTCTAGCAAGAAAATCAAGCAAAGTATTTCATTATTTCTTGAGTTCTTAACATTTTAGGAACACCAACGTGTCACGAAGTTAATTAGGTAGCTTTTCTTTTAAACATTTCTGTCCCCAAAATGTTAAAAAAATGCATCTGCTAACTTTCCTAATGCTATTATCTTCTTATCTCAAAGACTTAAGTTGTCTTATATGAAGTCTTTCGCCAAATTATAATACTGTGGTTTTGGTTTGCCTTTTTTTTGCTCAGAAAACAAGAAATGACATTTACTTGACCCCTACAGTTTTCCTGAGTTCCAGTATATTCTGTGGTTACTGTAATGTCACCCATGAAGGAGTCAATTCACATTCCCTCTGCACTTCCGGAAAGCCACGTCTCTGGAATGTGAGAGAGGCGGGGATTTAATCTCGTAAATATGTGGATAACTCTTGGGAATCTTGCGACCCGAACATAGAAATGTTTCGACGATACTGATTAAAATGAGAGGTGCCCCCACACCAAAGGGACTATCAGACTCAGCATGGTTTTTGTATTTGAGTTTTGGCTATATTAAAAAATAGTCAAATATAAAATACCAGGGATTTTCTCAAATATATAATTACTAATTATATCAAAATCATGTTCAAAGTATTTTAGATTATTTGCTTTCTAGACTAGACAGGTTTTTTGTTTTTGGAAAATTTCTTTTTAAAGAAAAACATGCAGTATCTTTTTTTCCTTTTTAGTGATCTCCCTCCTTACTCATACAGAATTTTTGTTGAACTACATGGATTCCATGGTTTGGGTTGTTTAAATGTGTAACACCTGCCTGCTGTTTCTTCTGTGCCACTTGCTTTGCTCCCATAGTGACCATCTGGCTTGCTCTCTCGCTTCATATTTTTTGTGTCTTAGAGAGAAGACTTCATCAGAAAGATCTTCTATCTAGAATTAGAAATAAAGGTTTTGTTTTTATCAGAAACATTCTGAAATATGAGACCAGGTGTCAATTCCTCAAGAGAACAACAGGAAAAACCCCTCTAAAACAAATGCAATCTAAATCGAGAGAAGACGAGCTTCAAATTCCTAAGAAGACAAAGCTAAAAACTTAATTTTTTTTTTTTTTTACTATTGGGTCACATCTGAACACTTACCTAGAATACAAATAAGTTCACAGTGCTTTCATTTTACATACAATATTTCTTAATGCTTTATTTATTCAGAAGTTGGTATTGATTGCCCATTATGGAATACACTGTTCTAGGGACGTGTTAATATTACAGAAAAGTAAAACTGATTGTCTGAGATAAATGCAAATTAATTTACTGAATGACTTACCTGGAATTTTAAGACTATGATTATAGTGGTTTAAGAGTCTGGGTTTCCTGGCTAGAATCATACTGAACTAGGAAGGAGTGCATTAGAGGAGATGGGCATTAAAAAGTAAATTTTGGTAGTTGAGGCATAAAAGTATTGTTACATAAACAAAATGTCTTTTACATAATATACTGCTTCTGCATCGCTTTGGAATTTGTTTGGTTAAATAGTATGTTCTTAATGTTTTATCCATTCAGATTCACAGTCCCTTTCCTGCAATTCCAAAAGTCTGAAAAAAAAATGTTTCATAATACATTTGGTGACATAGCCTGTTCTGAAATGTGAGGCTATTCTACTTCTTTATAAATACTTCATTATAGAAACATTAATATTTGATTATGAGAACTTTCCTAGACTTCTTACGTGTATTACATGATGTGTGTACATTATTTTCCAAATTTTTCCAAATTCCAATCAGTCTTTTCCCAAAATTTTGAATATGGTGGGCTTGAATATTAAGATTTAACCTCCTCATGAAGGAAAATATGACTTAATATGGGGAATGCATGTAGAGATTCAATAAATGCAATACTTTAACCCATATAAGCAAATGGTATATTTTCTATTTGCTTTACTTTTTATACATTGTCTTTATAATCAAATTTACACAAAACATTTTTCTAATCAAAATATCCTTAATGAAGAACTTTGTTTTCATAAATAAAAAGAAAAAAATCAGTACATTAAAGGGCTTATATTTCCTCAAATACCAAATTAAGCAGACTTCATGATATATAAAGTGCCATTGTCCTGTGACTGAAAGGCAGCTTACCTCTTCTTCATCTGCATTGTGTTCATCCAGAGGTTGAAGAACCACCATCCTCCAGCTGTTGAAGATACAAACCAGTTTCCAACAGCTCTACATCAGTAGTTAATAACTGGATCAGAAAAAAACACCACCACAAAAAACCTCCCTGATCTGTAGTATTTGCCAATTCTTTGTGTGACGACGTCCATCCTGACCTCTTTCGAGCTTAATAACTGGATCACAAAATTCCTCTGTATTAAACCACCAGCTCAACCCTCCAGCTCTAGCCTACCACGTAAATTGAAAAGCACTGAGCTCTGTTGCTATAGAACACCATAACCACAAGTAATGTTATTCCTTATGTAGATTATATCAACATTCTCTGTAGGAATTCTCATCATACCTCCTAGAGTAATGAGTTCTTAATACCTCAAAGTAATTATTAATAATTAGAAATCAGCTGGAACAGAAACCAGTTGGAATTACAAGAGTTGTCACTCAGCTCACGCCTCTGTTTCCAGCCTTTTCTATCTCTACTTCCTGGTGCCAGATTCATATTCTTAAGAAACTGCCTTCATCATTGCTAAAGAAACTAATTTCACTGCCAGTGACCATAAAAGCAGATCTGTGTCTGGCATTCAAGGACCCCCCACAATCTGGTTCTAACTTATTTTCTAGCATTAACTCCCTTTATTAGCCTACAAAGCCTCAGTCTCTGGTGAGCTTTGCACACGTGTCCATATGCCTCCCTATGTGAATACACTTACCTTCCCCCTCCATGATGTCTTCCCAGACTTTCCCATTCATCTTTCTATTTAATATGTTTATTGCTGACTTGGCAATACATCAAAATCTTATTTTTGTCACAGATGTTACTGTCTTACAGTGTATAACCCATGCAAAGGTAGTTGCTTTCTTTGAACTCATTTTGTAACCTTGTGTAAACTCCATGTTAAAGGACAATTATTAATTAAAGTATAATTATTCCTAAGGTACCTGTTAGATAACTAAATATTGAATGAAAAAGATAAAGACTGTTCTAAAGTAAATAAGTCTTAGGAATTGCCAATTCTCAATAAAAACTGAGAAATGAGCTGTGAATATAAGTAATGTAAAGCTTTCTCCATTTTCCCTCTGGTTATACAAGTGGGAGGAGGGGAGAAGAGCATCTTCCTTTTCTTAATTAAAATTTTAACTTCACTCTGAAAATTTAAGTTTATTCAAGAAAAAGAAGAAAGAAAATAAAAAGATGTAAGTATACATACCTTGGAGTAAGTATTTCCTTATATTGGAGCTTCTCTAACTTAGCTGGGGCCACTAATGACATGGGAATCACAATATTATCTATGTCATAAGAACTCTCACTTCGCAGTCTCCGCCGTGCAGTATTCTGCAGCAAAACAGGATTACAGTAGTTTTACAGCTTTAATCCTTAGTTACCTGAGACAATACTCTCACATCTATAAAAATGATATGGCAGTGTACCTATATATTAACTTTTATAAATATATTATTAAAAATATGACCATAAAATGTCGAGAAAAGAAAGCAAGCATACCTGTCTTCTAGAAAAGACAATCTTTTTTGGGGGGTAGGGCAGGTATTCAGCATACATCTGTGTGTGCGCACATGCAAAGCTATTTTTATGACCATAAAAAGGAGAAATGCCTTAAAATGGAAAACTCTTATCATAAAGATTGCCATAAGGCACCCTAAATGTCAATGAAATGATCGCTTAACAAACTCACTTTTTATTGGGAAAGACCACAAAATATGAAATATTTCTATGAAATACTTGGTGAGTCATTTAGTAAAGATCATTATTACAATCTTCACTTATGTGTTCCTGTTCCCTGAGCTTCACACTTTTTCTAAAACCCTCACACCCTTTTTAAAAATGTTTTTATTGATTTGAGAGAGAGAGGAAGGGGGAGAGAGAAACATCCACTGGCTGCCTCCTGCACACCCCCTATTGGGGATCGAGCCTGCAACCCAGGCATGTGCCCTTACAGGGACAAACTAGCTACCTCTCAGTGCTTGGGATCATGTCCAACCAACTGAGCAACACCGGCCAGGGCCCTAAACCCTCCCACCTTTACTCTCTGACCAGATAAAAAGCAAAATAACAAGGGCTGGACTCCTGCTAGTAAGATGACATTTAGCTTCATGCTAAGGAGTAGGGATGCTTATGATAAAGTTTATTTTTAACAAATAAAAGCCATAACCAAGGATTAATGAACAATTGGCTCCCTATTTAAAAAGCTGAATCAAATTTAATAAGGCTGTTATACTTTCTTTAAATCAGCCAGTTTTAAAATTCTATAAAGCAGTTCTAGAGTTCAGTATACAAAAAAACCTACTTGTGATGAATTCTGTGTTCTTGATATAATGTTCACGTTAGTAACAGCAGTAAAATTGCTATGGGATCCTGGTTCTGTGCGTTGAAAAGCAAATTCTTCAAATCTAGTTCTTTCGCCTGCCATGGAAGAAACCATTGAGAATGTCAAACATTAACGTGACTTAGAGGTATTAGAATTATTTTCCTGGTTAGGTAACGTGATTCCTTTTCTGTTTATTGGCTTTCTTTTTATTTTTTACACTCATCAAAAACAAAAAATAAGAGAATGGAAAAAAATTTACCCACACTTATTTCCATTTTCCTGCCACAGTCCTACCACAATTATTTTCATTTTCTGGGATAATGACAGTTTTTATACAATTGTTCTACTTTTTGGAAAGTTTCCTTAGCTTGATCTTCTAACCATTAATTTTTGAAAATTTTTCTACTATTAAAGTACTAATTTATAAAACTTCTTTTTCTGTTATTTTTTATAGTATCCTGTTTTTATGAAATTTTTCTCAGGATAAGTTTACTTTGGTATTTTTTGTATCTCACAATCCTTTTTTCTATTTGTTTTGGTTCCCTGTTTGTGCATATATATATAACTTATTCACTCATATACTGCTTTTGTTTACTTTAGTGTGAATCTTACAAAATATTTTCCCATTTAATATAAAATCTAATACCCAGTTCATATTTACATTTTTTCACTTGTTAAAAATTATTATTCAAATCAGGATCCATATTGAAATTGGTTCTTATCTCCTAGGTTTCTTATAGAAGAGCTCATTTTTCATGATATTTACCAGACTCTAGACCAGGGGTCCTGCACTTTATGGCGTTATCTAGTTCTTTGCATTATAGCATTATACGTGTTCCTTTATCCCTTTGTTTCCACCAAACTTGAACTTACATGTATCAATCCAAGTGAAACATTTTACATGTTAGGTAACTTGTATTCCATCACACATTAAGACATGCAAGCTTTCCTGTGTTTCAGTACACATGTCTGAACATTCCTCAAAGGCTAGATTTCTTGGTTGTCTTAAGATTGAGGCACTAAAAAACAATGAGATCTCCGGTAGTGGGTAGGAGTTTAATTTTGTGCTACACTACATCAGGTATGATAGGTATGATTTTCACATAGTGACTGGGTCTGGGTGGGATTTCTAGACTATGATAAATGTGTTAAATCCCTCGTGTATAATTATTGTCCACTACATCTTGGATATAATTTGTTTCTGATTTACTGGGCATATTGATATTACATCTGGGGAATATTTGACTAATGTATATGCAGGATGGGGCAAAAGTAGGTTTACAGTTGTTCATGTGGAAAATAACACAATAGTTAATAAACAAGGGTAAACCTGCACATTCAACTGTAAACCTGCTTTTGCCGCACCCCGCAGTGTGATATCCACTGGAACAATGAACAAAACCCAAAAGTATATAATTTCCTAATATATATCTTTGCAGTTAAATTTTATTTTTTATCATTTGCAATAATTGTGGGAACTATCGTCTCAAATCCCCACAAAAATCTCACTTTGTATTACTAGAGGGATCTAGTTTCAACAATATTTCTAGGGTCATCTTGGAACTGTAAGTTCCTAGAAGGAACTGAACCAGGTGGTTACCTTCAATGAATCTCGTTCAATTTCTCAAAATTCTGAGGAAGCTTCAGTAAATCGCCACGTCCACAAGCAGGTACCAGAAGTGGTGATAAATTTCTGTATGTCAGCCATGTACTGACATAGTTTTAGTCCAGAACACAACCTCTGAAACTAAGTCCTGTTAAATAGTCAGTATATAACTCTAGTCAGGGAGTATAGGAAAGAAATCCTTAATTGCCATAAAGTGGATGGATACGCAGTCAACAATCTGAACTGATACATGAATGTGGTGTTTAATGTTCACAGGACCATGGACGTTTTGTGTAATTAGTGATTACTGGATTGTAAACTCCCAAGAAGCAGGGCTTCTTTGGAGATCAGAATTTAGTTTTTAGTACTATCTCATTTTAACCTACCTAATGCTGTTTCACTCAAGTGTCTTTTCTTTCTTCCCTGTAACAGCTGTGCAGACGATTCTGACCTTATTTGAGGCTTGCATGTAGAATATCCATTTCTCCATTGACTCAGGGAAGTATTATGTACTAAAACAAATGGAAAGAAGAAACGTGCAGTTTTAGTTCCTTAACACAAACAGATAATGAATATGTTAGTGTTTCTACTTATAACTGCAGAATGTGAATATACCATTTAAAATTACATATAATACTTAGGTACCAAGATGTAATACTTGTAAACTGAAAATAATAAGATTCCTTAACATCTTCAGGAATTGTCCAGTTTCCTATAGTTGCTCCATTATTTGCAGGAGATGAAAAGGAAAGGGATCTGTTCTCAAAGTCATCTGAATTACAAAATGTTATAGAGAAGATTAGTTCAGTCTGTAAATATTGGTTGAATATGACCTAAATCCTTAAGTTCGTGCTCACCCTTAAATCTGGAAATAATTCAGAACCAAGAAAGATTTTATTGACCTCTGACAGTGCCTACTTTCACTTTTTTTAAAGCAATGAATTTTCTAAAACTTTAAGTCAATTAATAGCTCTGTGCCTCAGTTGCCTTACCTGTAAAATAGGGATAATCATCATTAGAAGGATATCTGATATAATCAGGTATTGAATATGTTAATTTCTTCATGATTATTACCTGTATGAATGCCGTTATTTCTAGTACTATATTGATCAAATTGACTGGCTTTTCTGAAGGGTTTGGAAATATGGAAAGGAATGGAAAAAGGAGTATGTTGGCTGAAGTGCCAAATTCTCACCAACACTGAAAATGCATGGCATACCAACGGTAACTGGGATTCTTGATTTTAAGATGGCAAAGCACCCTAAAAATGATAGACAAAAATTTTATAGACATGCACAGATCTGCACATATACATCCATACTAGCAAGCAAAAAGGGGGACTTTAAGTAAGTAGAATTTGTGAGGAATCTCTGAAAGACTAATAGCACATGGAATTATACTAAAGAGCAAACTCAGTGCAGAAGCACATGGAAAGTATTGCCACAAAAATGTGGTCTACATCAAAGGTGCTGTAGACCTGGAGGAAAGGGAAACAGAGCAACACAATTATCTGGAGCAACTAATAGGATCCCAACACCTCAGCCAGGCTGGTTGGTGAGAGAGCATCTGTCTTACTAGATAAAATCTGAGAGCCCTGAGCAGAGACATGGAGGGCGAGATAAGGCAGTGTCCACTGCCCCACTATGAAACGTCCTGCTCATCCCTACCTGCCTCTGAAAAGCAGTGTAGAGTGCAAATTTCTACCCTCGCCATGAAAAGCATAAACAGTGGCAGAACAGTCTCAGTGTAAGTAGCCACTTTAACGACGAGCACAATCAAGACTCCCAAAGTCTGACCACCAACACCGTAAAACAGAAGAGGTACAAACGACAAGTGGAAGAGCTATCTCAAGAAATAGTCACAGTACAAATGAACAATCTTTGAAATACTAGCACTGCCATGAGAAACAGAAGGCTTCTAGAGAGACCTTAGAAATGGAAAATAGGATTTTCAAATTTAAAAACAATCATCACTCACTGGGCTGAATAATAGAATGGACACAGCTGAAAATCAAAATCAGTGGGTTGGAAGAGGAATTCCACAATTCAAAGGAATATAGTGATGGAAAATAAGAAAGACAAACCGAAATGGGATAACAGGAGAGAGAGAATGAATGGGGAGCTGTATTTGAAGACATGGTAGCCAAAAAATTATCCACAATGATATTAACCCTAAGAGTGTACGAACTTACTTGAGTGTCAAATCAAACGAAGAAAAACCAAAGCCATAAGTCATGCAGCACATCACAATGAAGATGCCCGAGAAGTCGCCTGAGAAGGGATGAGATGACTGCATGGGTGAGAATCAGATGGACATAAAGCAAAACTAGATGCAGGGAAACAGTGACTCGGGAAATGTTAGAATTCCTAGATGGCCTCCAGGATTTCTTTTTTTGTAAAGGGGGCAAGAGATGTTTACTACAGGAGAAAATAGGCCCCACCAGGCAGCAGGACAGGAGGCATTGTAACGAGTGTGGGATGCAGAGCTGGGAGTAACTAGGAACCAGGGCTGCATCCTGAGTTGGGAGACCCCATGGACACTAGGCCACAGGCAACCACAGAAAGCAAGGAACATCCACCCCAGGCAGAGCACACTTGCTTAATAAGGACTGAAGGAGTAAAGGGATTACAAAGTAAAAGTTGAACGTCTTTGACTAGTTGGACAGTTAAATTTCTGGACAGCAAAAATAACAGTGGGAAACACCAGACTAGCCAGTGTCTGCACCACAGGACCAAGAAGCCAGCTGTGTTTGATCTTCACCAAGGTGATGCTTTTTATTGAATTATACTTAAAAGTTTTCTTTACACGTACCATTTTTTCTCTTCTTAGTGTCTAGTAAGGTTGCAGTGGACTCTTGAAACAGGAGGCAATATATGACAATTCAGAGTCTAACTCCACATCTGTTCTTTTTATAATAACCCTCCCAGCCTTTGGGTTCTTGCTCTCCCAAATCCTTAGACTCCATCCTAAAATACAACTTGACCCAGTATCTTTCCTATCTCCTGCCTTCCCATCCTTTTCATTTATTCATTCAGTAACGTCACAGAGATCCAATTACGTGCCAGGCAGTGTGTGACACCCTGGCACTCAATGGTAAGCAAAACCCCAGCATGGTCCCTGCCCTGCCCGTGCTGTCTATAGGCATTATCTCCAAAACTGCAACCAGAGGACAGGACTATGAGGGAGTCAGGGAGAGTAAGAGAACTCTAGGAGAGGCTTCCCCAGACACAGTGACAGATTCCAAATAGGAACAGAAAAAGCTGATGGCAAGGAGAACGAATGGAACATATGAGGGCAAAAGGGAGCAAGACGAATTTGGCAAGAACAATGGCAGCAGGAGAGGAAGGGAGCGTGGGGAACACCACGAACGGGGGCGGCCTCGGGGGCAGGGCCTCTCTAACAACAACATTCTGTCAAATACCTGAAGGGAATGGGGTTGGGGAACCCCAACTTTCGACAAGATCACTTGGTACAGGGACTGGAAATGAAAATGGATGAGCTATTTCAGTAGCGGAGAGAAGGGTTATCACTAAGTTGACTGTGAGAGTAGCAGAGAGGAAGACAGCAGGCTGGGAGCAAATTTATAAGAAACACGAAGTGAGTGAGAGACAAGGACGTGGCAGGCAAAGAAGGCTGAGCTCTAGGATTCTGCCTGGCTTGTGTGGTGCTATTGTTCCTGTCTCATCTGACCGCTTAAAAAGTAATAGACTTTAATCTGACCTAATTCCAGACTCGGAAAACTTGGCAGCAGTACAGAGAAGCATCGCGTGCCCCTGACTCAGATTCCCCAAGCGGGGCATTAATCACGGCGCTTCATCTTGCCGAACGCCACGAGATGCCCCTCTCAATATGTCCATATCTATTTTCCAAAAACAGGCATTCTCTTACCAAGTCACACTGATCAAAATAAGAAATTAATACTAATAGCTAATGATAGGCCTTATTCAAATTTTACCAATTATTCCTGATATTCTTTATAGAAAATTCTGATCACTCTGCATTCAGTTGTCAGGTCTTCCAAGTTTTCTTGGGTCTGAAATAGTTCCATTGTCTTATCTTTCACGACTTTAAGTATTTTGGTGAGTACAGGCCCTTAAATGGGCTTTTTCTGGTATTTTCTCAAGATAGGACACTAATAAGCTATTCACTCTTCAACCCACTGCAGTTTGTCTTTTCCCTACTTGTTACCTGAAGTCAACAGCGCTGGCACAACTGCCAACTGTAGCGGACAGTCCAGGATAAATCCAAGTTCTGGCAAACACACTAACATCCCTCTGCTTGCTTCAAACAGTTCACCCTACACAAATACCTGAACACAGCACACTGTTTCATGGCTCCATGACAAGTCACATGTTTTCCATTTTAAAACTTTGTTACTCAATATGGGCCAATGGTATTTGAATCGCCTAGGACCTTGTTAGAAACGCAGAATCTCAGACCCCATACCAGACTTACTAAATCAGAAGGTACATTCTAACGATATCCCCAAGTAATGTGCACGCTAAGGTGTGAGGAGCAATGATTTAAACACTTCACTCTTCTTCCTCTAAATTCCATTAAGCTACACATCACTGTCGGATTGCAGTTCCTCCTCCTGCCCTTTCCCAGCACCCTTAACCTTTCTTCCTCTGCTTCCCCTAGCCGGAGTTACGCACTCCCTCTTCTTTTTAGAATATTTTTATTATATGTGTGCCTATCACATCTCAATAATTATGTGTGTCTGCTTCCCCCATTACATTTCAATTTCTTTTATTTCCTGATTCAGCTTTGATTCTTCAACACTTAACAGTCTATCTGGCACAGAGTAGGTACTCAATAAATGCTGAATTCTAGTTTTACTTAATTCTCTAGCAATCACAGTAAAATAATATAAAATTATTTTACTAATCACAGTAAAATTAATGACTAGCTATTTAAGGCACCTACATAGGATGAAACCTAGTTAATGCTTAATTATTTGGGTTGGAATGGTAGGAGAGGAGAGATTGGGATACAAATAATTCTTTATTGATTTGTCTAATAATACAGCATGCAACTCAAATGTCCTATTCTAAGCTCTTACTTTCCCATTACTAACATTTCATTACATTACTGAGACATTAATTCTGTGCCTAACACATCTACACTGCCCTATTTTTTTTAAAGTTAGCTAAAAGAGCAACATTAGAATAAATATAATCAATCACCTCATCTCACTTATCTAGCAGCATATAATTTCATTTTTGTGTATTTCAGTCATTTCATATTTCAACTATAACAATTTTTATTTGGATATATGTATAATTATATTTTTTATCTGATAACTCACTCTTCAGTGTTATTTTTTTACATGGTTGCCTAACATCCCTCTGATTAGAGACAACATAATTTATTCCTCAGCTGTTAGAGTTCGTTGTCAAGATGATATTTCTATCATGGGCATTCTTAAAATAATCATTTCTTGCATACGTGTTTCCTATTTTTAAAAAGTTTAGTCTCAGGATAAATTCTAAGGAGTAGAATTATATCATGAAAAAGAACCAGAACGTAACCTGTATTTTCCTGTTATTTCTGTATTCTTTTTTTCCTAAGCACAGACAATTTTCTTTGTCCCTAGTGCTTTTATTTTTTTAACTTTACTGTGGGAAATTTTCTAAAAAACAAATGGAGAATAGGATAATGAACTATCCTGTCATTCAGCATCAAAATTATAAACTGGTAACCAGTCGTTCCAACTCTTCCCACCATTTCTGCTAAAAGTATTTTAAAGCAAATCCCGGACATATCATGTACATATATGTCAGCTTGAATCTCTAACAAAGCGTGTATTTATGTAATGACATGCACTATTACTTATAACAAAACTAACAATTCACTAATATCCAAAGTCCAGTCCATGTTCAAATTTCTCTGTCTCAAAAATTGTGCTTGTGTTGGCTGTGTGGGTGGGTGTTTGTGTATACAGCTGAGTTCAAATCGGGATCCCCAAAAGGCCCACACGTTGCATTTGACTGATAGAAAGTAACATTTTTACATGGTCAAACTGTACCATACATAGAAGTAAAACATTTTTGTCCTTTTATATCACTTAACATCCTTTGATAAGTGTTTCTATCCTTATATGAACTTAAGATATTTTTGAAAGCTGTATATTACACTGTTAGATAGGTGCCCATATCCCTATTATGCCCTTCAAGTTGTTTCCATTTTTTTAAATTAACACAAATATGTTAAATATACTTGTCAATAACAGTGGTTTCATATTTAGGATTAGACTAGGTTCTTGTAAACTGATTCACTGGGTCAGAATATAGAGTTCACTATTTGGTAATTAACCAAGTACACACATAGGTTTTTTTTCCCCCCTCGGTGGTCTTATTTAAAAAATACATACTTTAAAGGCCTTATAATGCAATTCACAGTACTTCCCAAAAGGCTTGTAGAGTCCTATTATAACTACATTCTTACCAGAATTGATGATTATAATGTTTAATTTTCTTAATGTAACCAGGTAAAGTAGTCTGGCACATAAGCACTCACTGAATACACCTAGTTTTTCTAATAGGACAGTTTTTAACATTTAAGGTAGATATGTCATTTTATCTTTTCCCAGAAGTCATTATTTAATGCCACTAATTACAGAAGAAACTGAGTTGTGTAACGTTTGTGCTCTGAGCCACACTGCCTATATTTGAACCCTGGCTCTGCCACTATTCAACTGTGATCTGGGAAAGTTAGTGGGGGAGAAAAATAATACTTAATAATACTTTACAGGGTTGCACAGATGAAAGCAAACCCATGTAAAGCCCTGGAACCCGGATTGGCATATAAGGAATACTTCCTAAGAATCGTTCATTGTTATTCACTGACCAGGCCAGCCTTTCCACACTGATAGGCAGTACCGCCTTATCATGTATGAACCCTTGTTTGCCTCCAGGCCTTTTAATTTCCCTGATCTGGCTTCTACCAGCACCACAGTGGCTTAATGATTGTAGCTTCATAATACATGTTGACATCTGACCCCTCCTTATTGATCTTTTAAAGTTTTTACTGTGCTATTCAGTATTTTCTCTCGGAGATAAACTTCAGAAAAACTGTTTCAAAAGCAGACTACCTCTGTGATTCTCATTAGAACTACATTATAAATTAATTTGGGGGAAATGACATCATAAGTTATTTAAAACTGTCTTGACAGGAATGGGGTATCTCCACAGTAGGCGCATACTCTTATGTTCCTCAGTCAACTCTTGATGTTTCCTTCTGAAGGTCCTTGTAAGTTTAATCCTAGGTATGTTCTATTTTCATTGTCAGGGTGTCTGGGATAACATTCCTTTACATATTCTAACTCGTTATTGCTGGCATTAATAAAAGCTACTGGGTTTTAGAAATTTATTTTAAAATCTACCACCTTTTGGAACTCCAGTACTCACAGGCTATTCAGTTGATTGAGTTTTTGAAATAGATGATGATTTCCTCTGGAAATAATTTCTCTCAGAAGTAAAATATTTTATATGACTTTTTGATATCGAGATTTTAGCTTTGCAGATAGTAAAAATATGTTGATTTTTTTACTGATTGCTTCCAAGCACAGACAATGTTCCAACCCAATTCAGAGTACTCATAACTATTTCATTATAATTTTTCAAGTTTTATAATTTTAGTTTATTTAAAATTCTTGAACCAGCTAGAATTTATTCTGATACATGGTATGAAATGACTACAAACAAACTTTCCCCTGAAAGACTAACTCTTTACTGAACAGTTTTCCATTTTCTCACTGACATACAATTCTTCCTTTATATAATAATACGTATAAGCTGTTAGTCTGCCTCATGGATCTACTTTCCTAAAGGTGAGCCAAACAGAATCTAAGCTAACTATTACAGATTTCCGTCAGATTTCCACATGTGGTTGTGCTAGATTCTCTCAATACTTTTTCCAGCAATTCCTTTTATATTTCCCCATTTATTCTTTCCAATGGGCTTTACAGTTATTTTGTTAACCAAATTCTATTAGAACTTCAAGTTATGAGGCATTAAACATTTAAACAGGGAGAACTTATATCCTTACTAATCTTACTATCCAGGAATGCTACTTATCCATATTTATTTATATTCCCTTTAATATTTATCAGTAATATTTCATAATTTTCATTCAGTAAGTGTCACACATTTTGTTAGGATTACTCCTATGTATATTTCCTTCTGTGTGTGTGTGTGTGATTTGTGAAAAGTGAATATTAAAAATTAAGAATTTACATTTATTCCTTTGTTAAATTTTATTTCCTTCAAAAGCAAAAGTAGTAAGTGTATGAAAGATATAAAAAATATATATACACACACACACACACATATATATAAATACTACAAGATTTGTAAATAACATACCAGGGGATGAAGATATGATACAGTCTCCTACAAATTTATTTTCAGCAAGATCTCCTTTTATTTCGGTCTTTTTTAACAATGTTTCAAAGTGAAAATGAAGAGGCACATCTGGAAAAATAAAGTAAAAGAATTTTCAGTGAGTACCACTCTTTATTAGATTCAGTAAGATTGTTTTCTTTCTATAAATAGCACATAGTCATACAAAAATAAGCAAAAGCTTGAAAAGTCATAGCTTTCAGAAGTGGCACAATACTCTTCCAAAGCAAATTGGTGGTATTTTGGAATTACTGACTATATGTCCTAAATAAACAAATGCTAACAATGAACAACTAAAATAGTACATAATATAAACAAAATTATAAATATTCACAGATGAGAACAAATGTACCCGAAAGTCTTTAATAAAACACACAGCCAAACCTGGTTGACTTTTTTAAGACCATTCAACCCCATTCCCACAATCTTCGCATTTAATTACTTGAAGGAAAAACCACTATAATTCAGAAGCAACCTTTTATGAAAATGTTGACTTTTACATTCTCTTAGTTACTAGAATTATGAATAACAAAATGAATATTTACAAAGATTAAAACCTATTGATTCCTTTTATAGATTCCTTTTATTTATAAGATTAGATTTCACCATAAAAATAATCAGTTGCTTAGAAATTTTTTATAAGGCTTACCTGATGGCAATGATAGAACAGAATGGAAAGAAGGGTCTGACTCTGACACATGTTCTCTTAATATTTGAGACTCTGAACTGTGTTCACAGCTACTCCAAGTTGAAGCTGACTGCAGGCAAGGCATTTGTGTAGTATTTAAAAACACTGTTTCTTTTGAAGGTAAAGTCTGCAAGGAAAAAAATAACTTAAAGACTTCAATTTTTTCTTGAAAACTGAATCAGAGAACGTAACCGTTACAGTACAATATCTGAACAACAGAGAAAGAAGTCCTGGTTAAGCCACCTTGGAGAAAGACCTTTACTTTTTCCTTTTTATTGACTTTATTGGGAGAAAAGACCTTTAAAATGACATAGAGTGAGAGAACTTATTTAAGAGCATGAATGTGATGAGATTTGACTAGTCTCTTCACTTTTTCAAAATGAAGAGCAATGTCTATGAAAATGGGTCTTTCCTCCATCTTATAAAATCTCAGAAATGAGTTTGGGAAACTTTGGGTGAAAATAGTTACACTCCAAATCAGTAAGAGCTCTAAGTGATGGTGAACAAAGGCTATATTAAGATTAAGAACTGTATATACTCTTCCTCCTTGCAACCTATTACAACCAATGAATGAAACGGGAGTCTCTGCCTTAAATCCTACCGACAGTATCTACACTGGAATAACAGTGGAGTACTGTATTTTACATGTTTACATTAAGTAAAATTTAATTTAAAATCAAACATCAGCAAAGCTATGCATGCCTGGCCGGTGTGGCTCAGTGGCTGAGCGTCGACCTAGGATCCAAGGAGATTGGGGTTCGATTCCCAGTCAGGGCACATGCCCGGGTTGTGGGCTCAATCCCCAGTCGGGGGGGTGCAGGAGGCAGCCGATCAATGGCTCTCTCATCATTGATGTTTTTATCTATCTCCCTCTCTGAAATAAACACATATATATATAAATGCAATATGTTACAAGAGTTTGAGTTTCTTGAGAAACTGTAAACAACTGTAAACCTACTTTTGCCTCACCCTGTACATATTCTGTTTAAATGCTGGATTTTTAAGTTATTTTTTTATGGTTACAAATTAACATACAGTCAACGGAAAAAATCTATAAAACAGATAAAATATTTTTTAAATAGAGGTTGCTTGTGCTCCTTTTCTCACCCTTACCTCTACCTCCTACAATAACATTAGAGCTTTTTTTTTAAAGTATCATATTTAAAATGCTTCTAATAATAGATCTTTAGATGCTATTTTTAAACATTTTTATTCTATAAACTTACATTAGGTTTGTCAACTTTCTTGAGTTTGAGTTTCCTGGCGGACTGGCATTTTCTATGTCCCCACAGCAGTCAGGAATAGCTGTCTCTACCACAGCCATCAGCTAGAATCCTCTGGACCATTAGCTCCCTGAAGGCTGGCGTGTTTAATTTTGTATTCCCGGAAACTGACACCATCCTGATACATGGTTGAAACGAATGCTGACCAAGTGAATTTTATCTTATTTGCTTTAAAAACAGTTGAATAAAACTTCAAATGCGTGTGTGCCCAAGACTTTCACTGGAGGAAAACAGTCCCTGTAATATTTGCTGGCAGGCCCTCCACCCTGACTCCTGCTTACATCCCCCTGGCCAGGACGTAGGGCAGACAGTCACACTATCTGCGCAAGGCTAGGGAATGCAGTCATTCGGGGTGGTCTAGTAAACCGATGAGGTTGGATAAAAAGACACATGTGGATACATGATTATAAGAATGTGAGTCATTTACAAGATTAATTCTAATTATGGAATAGGTATAAATTTATGAGAACAGTTGTTTTAGATTTACAAGATGCACTGGTACTTTTGACTCTATAGGATTATTTGCTCTTTTATGATGTAGTTCAGAAAGGTATAAGGAACATTTATTTGAAACTACAAAGAAAAAAAAAGTGCTAACCTCCCTTTTTCCATATATGGCTAGAGCATTATAAATAAAAGTTAATAAAATCTGAATATTTACCATATAATTAGTTCTCTCTTGAAATTTTTCCAAATCCAGGAAACCCATTAGACAATTTGAAACTATCCTAAATAATTATGGAGACAAGTGGGGGGCATCTAGGAAAAGGCTTTTTCCCGCCCCCTGAAGAGAAAGTGAAGCCCAGGAGGCTGAAAAGGAATGGATGGAGAAATAAGAGAAAAACCAGGAGATTGTGGCCAATAAAAATGCAAATATCTAGAGGGTGTGATCAACAATACCATATGCTGCATAAAATGCCAGTAAAATCCTGAAAAGTACCCACCAATATTTTTAACTTTAGTAATAAAACTTTTCACATATACAAAAGAAAATATAATTTATAGGGAAGGCATAAAATAACCTTTACAAACATCTCTACTCACCCTCCTACTTTGAGAAACAGAACAATACCAGTACCTTTGATGCCTTTTGCCTCTTAGGCCGCCTGCACAGGCCTGTAAAATAGATTGCTACTTTCCTCCTGATGACTGTGTTCTCTGTCTCCCTGTTCAGAACTCCTGATTTGGGGCTGGGCACATTTATTAAGCTTCCTTGCATCTAAAAATTACTAAATTCTAGCCAGACCATGAAGAGAAGTCATGTGTGCAACGTCCAGGAAGTGACCTTCTGAAGGTCACTTCTTCCTTCCCTCTCCCACCTCCCCCCAGGTGGCGGTGAGGCACTGCCCAAAGACCAGGCGGGCAGAGGAGCCTGGCGCCCGCAGCACTACCCACCGCAGAGCACCGCGACCACGCCTCGAGCATTTCCGAACATTTACAAGACAAAGCAAGTAGTCAACTCACATCTCGTTTCTGCCACTCTTGGGGCTTCCGTCCAAGGCAGCTAAGCCTGTATCTCAACTAATACAACGTGCCTCCTTAATCATTCTCTCTCCACTTCCGGAGTCGCTGCTATCCTGAATTTTATCACTTTGATTCTCTTTAGAGCTTTTCCAAATAAGTCTATCAGTCCTATAGAATTTACTACTTAAATCTGTATGCTTTAAAAAAATGTATAGACAGAATCATGTTAAGTATATTTTCCTGCTTTATTACTCAAAATTATGTGTATTCAATTCATTATTCTCCTGTTTATAAATATCTAGATAGTTTCTAGTTTTTTTATTATTATGGAGAATGCTAGTGTGAATATCATTATATAGGGATGGGCAAAAGTGGACCTACAGTTCATATGGAAATAATACAAATACATAATATAATAATATTATTTGCGTACTCACAACTGTAACTACTTTTGGCCACTCCTGTATTTGTGTCCTGACACATGGGGATAAGAATTTCTCTAGAGTACAGGGACAGAAATGGAATTCCTAGGTTATACAAATGCATGAATGCGCATCTTCAACTTGACCAGGTGATACACCTGCATTACAAAGTAGTTGTAACTAATTAACACTTAAAGAGAGCAGATCTGAGTTCTCACTACTTGAGATTTATGCCAATAGTTATTGTCAAACTTGTGATTTTTGCCAATCTCAGAACATACAAATAGAATCTCATGGTTGAAATCTACATTGCTGTTTACTATTTAAGTTGAGCACCTTTTCATACCTGTAATTGGCCATTCACTTTTCCTTCTTTGGGAAACTACATGTTTTGATGATTTTTTTATTGGGATGTCCTTTTCTTATTGATTCTTAAGTTCATTTTAAACACTCTAGAAAGTTATAAGTCGTTTGTATGTTGTATATATTGCTCCCTGTCTGAGCTTCTTTTCACGTTCTTTGTGGTATCTTTCGATCAAGAGACATTCTTAACTTAAATGTTTCCTTTTATAAATATTTACCATAGAGGTGCCAGACCCATTCAATGGGGGGAAACAAGTCTCATCAACGAATGCAGCTGGGACAATTGAATATTCATAATTAGGAAGCAAAAAAAGAAAAAAAAGAAGTTGGACTCCTACCTAACACCATATATGAAAATTAACTCAAAATGGATCAATGACTTAAATATAAGAGCTCAAAGCCATAAATATCTTAGTAGAAAACACAGGAGCAAATCACTATCTTGGATTAAGCAATGAAGTCTTAGGACACCAAAAGCACAAAAAATAACACATAAATTGGACTTCATCAAAATTAAATACTTGTGCATCAAAAACATTATCAGAATATAAAAAGAGGACCTAGAGAATGGGAGAAAATACTTAGAAAATTGATAAGGGACTAGTATCAAGAATATACAAAGAACTCTTACATCTCAATAAAAAGGCAACTCAATTAAAAATAAGCAAAGAAAAAGTAAGCCAAGGACTTGAACAGATATTTCTCCAAAGACGACATACGAATGGCCAACAAGCACATGAAAATATGCTCGGTATCAACAGTCATTAGGGAAACGCAAGTCAAAACCGCAGTGAGGCACTCTCACACACACTAGGACGTCTATAAGAAATAAAAATTAAAAACCCAGAAAATAAATGTTAAGAAATAACAAATGTAGAAATTTTGGGAACATTGCTGATGGGAGTTTAAAATAGTTCAGCTGGTATGGAAACCAGTCTAGTGGTTCCTCAAAAAATTTAAACATAGAATTACCACATGACACTGCATTTCCACTACCCGGTAATATGTGTGTAATTTGCCCCCAGGTTTTAATATAAATAGTTGCATATGAATTGTTCTGTATCTTGGCTTTTTTCCTCAGTAAATGGTACATTTTAGAGGCCTTTTTTCATCAGTTTGTAGAGCTTCCTAATTCTTGTTAATAGTATTCCAGTGTATGGATACTTGTGTATTTAGCCAGTCTCTTGTTAATAAACATTTGGGTTATTTACAGTTTTTGCATTTACAATCAATGTCATAATTATTTCATATCATATATTCATTCACATTTTAAAAAAAAATTTGAGGTGAAACTCACTTTACATAAAATTAACCACTTTCAAGTTAACAATTCTGTGGCCTTTAGTACATTTACAATGTTGTGCAACCATCATCCCTATCTAGTTCCAAAAATTTGTCACTCCAAAATAAAACTCCTCATCCATTAAGCAAGTTCTGCCTATTTCCTCACATCCCCAGCCCCTGGCAACCACCAATCTCTCGTTATGGATTCATCTATTCTGAATATTTCTTATAAATGGAATCATACAATAGGTTACCTTCTGTGTCTGACTTTTTTCACTCAGCACAATGTTTTTGAGGTTGAAGCAGATTGT